ACACTGTGGCCAATCCCCCTTATGGGTATGAGCCAAGATCTTTTAGGTGACAAACGTACAAACAGTGCCACATCTGGCTGCGCTATACCGGGTTTCGACCGCATAAGACAGTGTACCACAGCCCGGGCCCCTAAGAAGCTCCGCACTTAATGATATCCCCTACTACAGTATGACAATCATAACGTGAACCTGCATGATCACACTGTTGCATTCATTGCATAAAGTAGCAGTACTTTATTTTTTATTGCTTGCTCACGCGCTTGTTCATACGCCGCAACTGCTAGAATGTTGCAGCATGGTTGTGCTTTACTGTTACTTTGCGATAGATTTCGCGGCACCTCTCGTTTGCAAAAGTGGCGCACTCAACGTATACAAGAAAGCAAATTTAACAAATTACTGCCGTAAAAAAAGCGTGCATAGATAGTCTTTTAGGGTGATCAAATACGCACGCATGTGCCTGCGCAATCAACGAACCGACACATCTTAAGTACTTCGCATCGATGACGCTGTCAGACACTACTGCACACTAAACCATTACAGAACTTTAAATAGGAACCTCAATACGAAAAAAAAATAAACGTGATTGTAAGAAGGAAGGGTAACGCTTATTATTATTCATGGCTGGATAGGCTTCTAGACACATGACTACAATATAATTGAAAGGAGAGGCGCTTATTGAAAGGAAAATGAAGGTTGTTTAGAACTAGGTTTGTTGGGGCCCCCAGTCTAGGACTACACTGGCCTCCACAAACCGCCGCCCCTTGTCCAGGAGCACCACCCGGGCCTCCTTTTCCTCGCTGGCGTGCAAGGTGTCCTAGTGCTCCATTCTGAATTCGCCCTTTATGAGGGTATAACACAACGCGACAAGGACACCAAAAGAGAGACGCACACACACACAGCGCTGTGTGTGTGTGTGCGTCTCTTTTTTTGTGTCTTTGTCGTGGTGCGCTATACCCTTATAAATGATGAACCCCAACCAACTAGCCAGGCAACGTGTCTTAGTGAATTGCCCGTATTAATATGAGGCGTGTTAACTTTGGGTGCCTTAATTCACATTCCCATGTTATATGAGCAAATTTTGGCTGTCCTCCACACCACGGGCAAGAACCGGCGAAAGCTAATGTGTCGTACTCAGGCTTATACAATGCAAGAGTGCAGTGCCGTGATTAAATTACAACTTGCAGGACCCCTTGTGTACGATACGGCACTGCGACGTGCTTGAAGACTTTCTAGTTACTCAATGACGCAATAAAGTATTCATTTTGTGCTCATAAAGGAGAGCCACCACCGGGATACTGATTGCAAGGGATGAGAAACGTGGTCGAGAGTGAGAGAAAAAAAATTGAAGACTTTGATCGCATGAAATGAAATTTACTCGCGCAGGACACGGTGAGTAGAAACTATTTTGAGATAAACATAAGTTAGGCTTGTGATAATATAATTACAGAGAGAGCGAGAGCATTTAGAACGTTGGACACTTTCATTTGAAGTAGTAGATCGGCATGCCCTACACGCCCAACTTATATCTCTGGAAAAACTATTCCAAACAAATATTTTTATAATTTATCAAAAATAACCGTGTCCCTAAATCTAACGCAGCTAAGTAGATCATAAACAAAGAACGCTGCTCGGAAGGCGCAGCACAGTCACAGCGAAAGCTAGAAGAGCGGCCTTTCAGAGCCTTTTCGAAACACTCATTGGGTAACTACTGCAAGCACACTTGCTTGATACGCACTAGGTCATTATTACTAAAATTATTTGGGTAGTAGGCCAACATTCGCTAAGCTATTCTTCGTCATTCGTCTGAGAAGCGTGGTATCCGCTTAACACTTGCAACAAATTTTGTGCCAATTGTTCATGCAGTGGCTGACGACGATGACGAATTATGGCTGAAGTGGGTATGTGCCACAGTTAATTTGGGAACAAGGACAAGCTTTTGTAATGGGTTGGAGCATTGGACGTCCCACTCGCTACGCAATACATATTGTGCGACGACTGGTTGTTCTTTCGCTATTTTAAAACATTTTAAAGGTCGTATTAACGCGATTGCTTTCCCGAAATCAAGCCTGCCTAAGGCAAGTTTCACTACAAGTTACAACCACCGGCGTTGCACAGTGGTAGAATACTGGGCTGGCACCGGGTTCGAGCCCCACTGTGTCATTGGCGCTAGGTCAAGCCTGGCTAAGGAAAGTTTAACAAGTTACAAGCACCGGCCTTACTCAGTAGTTGAATACTGGGCTGGTACCCGGGTTCGAGCCAAACTGTGTCATTGGTGCTACGTCAAGCCTGCCTAAGGCAAGTTTGACTACAAGTTACAAGAACCGGCGTTGCTCAGTGGTAGAATACTGGGCTGGTACCAGGTTTCAAGCCCCACTGTGTCATTGATGCTAGGTCAAGCCTGCCTAAGGCAAGTTTGACTACAAGTTACAAGAACCGGCGTTGCTCAGTGGTAGAATACTGGGCTGGTACCAGGTTTCAAGCCCCACTGTGTCATTGGTGCTACGTCAAGCCTGCCTAAGGCAAGTTTGACTACAAGTTACAAGCACCGGCGTTGCTCAGTGGTAGAATAATGTGTTTGAACCCGGGTTCGAGCCGCACTGTGGCATTGGTGCTAGGTAACGGACACCGGCGGTGGCGGCGGCGGACAACTGCGCGTGACACAAGTTGTGATCTTATAACAGCTTTCGCTGTAAAACGTGTGTTCTTAGAGACCCCCTAATTAGTTCAACCGAATCACTCTTCAATCACTTATAGATTTAAATAGTGAATTTAGGAGGTTCGCGTATTTATGGGCTTACTAGCTGCTTTATTGAGCTTAGGAAACAAAAAAATGCAGACATATCCCTCAGTAGGACACCAAATGTGGAAGTACAACAAATGCTAACACTATACCTGAGTCGCGAAGATTGAACATGATACCAGCGCACTGAAAATAACTTCACAAATATTATGACACGTTTTCTGGCAATAAAAGTAAGTTCACATCAACGTGGGTCGTTTTAATGTGTTTTGATTCAATCTGGATTAATACGAATGCGGGTTCACTCCAGTGTAGGTGACTATTTCTAAGTCCCGTGATTCGCTGTTGGTGAGGTAGCTTTTAGTCTAAATATTTGGATCACTGATTACTGGCCAACTTACTTGACGCGCAAGTATAATCATTGTCTTGCTAATTTCTTAAGGAAGGTGTTCTTTTTGAGGAGGATGTCTAAACTAGCAACGCCTGAACTAAGTACTTATGCATGCGTAGAGTGAAAAAGTAGCTTGTATGTTAGAATATGCATAATATCTTATATGGCACATGACACCATGTAGTTACTCTACTGTACTGTATAGCTCATGTGTTGTAAAATACCTTATGCTTAAAGTGCAAGTACTTTATGCCGCGGCTGCATTCCCCTTAGCTCCCGAAGGGAGTGTGAACCTTCGTCAGTTGTAATAAGCGCATTTTAGAGCAATGTTCTTCCGACTGCCGATAACACTGTGAAATGAAATAAATGTCTTTGTATTTTAAGCCTTCCAGCTTACGACGCACTACATTCAAAACAACATTCAGAACTGAGAAATAAAGAGAAAGCTCTTGGATGAGTTTAAAATTTGTATGACCTCAGTTTTGTGAGCGCGAAAGTTCACCTAAAAATGAGCACTTTCGTACTAGTTACATGCATAAAACCAGTGCTATAAGCTCAAATAAAATATATAGGTTTAAATACAATATTTCGACTTCCCTCTACAAGCGGTGCTCCATAAATAAGGTACTCGAAAGGGAAATTCTTTAAGGCGTATAAGAATTGTAGGGTTTATACAAATTGGGCAGATTCTACTACTCAACAAGCTGGTCCGATAAAAAAAAATTAAGAGGTATAGCAAACACTGATTATAAGCCACGTGTTACAGCTTCTGTTGTAAACCATGAACATGTTGGTTGGTGTCGATTGAGAGCGTTTTGTTTCTATGCCACACGACAAACCTCGGTCTCACGAGGTCTGTCGTGAAAAGAAAGAAATGGAGAAAAAAAGTAGAACATTTTCAAAGCTAAGAAAAACAGTAACAGCCAAGACTACCTGGATGCCCGCCAATTCCACTGTGTTTTTAGTACTGCATCTTCAGTTGAAACTACGCCCATGTTTTTCTTTACTCAATAAACAGCATAATATAGAAAGCACGTTTTACCTGTGCGCAACCGAAAGAAAAGTAATCAAGCAAAACAAGCTAAGAAACAAACAGAGAAGAATGTCTGCATCAAGGTCTCGTATATATATCTAAAACTGCAGAATCATGCATTGTTACCAACGGTTCTTTGACATGCAACCATATTAATAATAATAATTACAATAATAATAATAATAATAATAATAGTAATAATAATAATGTTGGGTTTAACGTATTCAAGACACGCTATGGTCATGAGGCACGCCGCAATCGAGAACTCCGGGAACATTGAGCGTGTGATGTTGTCTAACGGCCACTGAGATCGCATAGCAGACAAGCATACAGCATTTCACTTCCATGCAAATGCAACCACCAGAACCTGGATCTGCCGGCGACATTCGGGTCAGCAGGCAAGCGCCGTAACCACTATCTCATCGCGGCGGATAACGCAAATAATCAGAAGTTGTAAATAGTATATTTATCCGGGTAATATGTTGTTGAATTGTGTGGCCTTACCAATGATATTTTGTCTCACCGTTGGTTCGCATCAGTTGATAACAATCATATTTAAGAAATATCAAAGTTGCTATTCGTTCTATATTATTCCTACTATCAGTGGCGTTGCCAAAATCGTGCAGCAAACCCAATCTTCCACCCCCCCCCCCCCCGATTGTTTTTGGACATGGCATACATGCTGCAAAATGACCATTTGCCTGCCCGGCCCCCACTTCAGACCAACGAGATGCCCCCATTCTAAAAAAGTTTGCCTACTCCCCCGCCTGGATTGACCTTATTTTTGAGAGCAGGCTATCTATAAATAAGGTAGTCTAGAAGAACGATCAACTCACAGTAGATGCGATTCGCTTCCATTTTCTGCAGCTGTGGTTGCTGACACGCGAGCCAAGAGATCCCGCAGTGAACAGAACGGCCCGTTTTATCCAACAAGGTCTGAATGCGCCCGCTGCTCGTTCTTTGTTTATGAAACGGGAAGCGCCAGCTTCTTTTTTCTTTTTTTTTTTTCTGAAGGATCAGCCAGTGTCACCTCATTTTATCATCTCCGAGCCGCCAAAGCGACAGCGAGAATCTCGGAGTTTGCGAAACGGAGACATGTCATATGCCTGTCTGCAGTTGATTAGCGCTTCCGCTTTGGTTAAGGTGCGTTCGAAAGGAAATCTCACGCCTTTTTCCTCGCCGGTCGTTGAATCGGTGACCTTGATAGCTGCTTGAGTGACTGGACTGTTAAACGTCAAGGCCGCGAGGCTTAGGAATGTCTTAGAGGTATTTTCGGAATTATTTTCCTTGTCTGGCGAAGGCTGTCTCGGAGCTACACGCAGTCAAAACAAATTATGCAATCCGTGGAAAAGTTAACTGGCTCTTGTGCACGAATAAATACCTTATCGGTTAGTTTGTTTCCTTAAGACTGCTGTCCATTGGGTTCTTTTAAGCTGCTAATTCATTGTATGGCCTATCTTCGATAGCCATCGCATGTTTAAGGAAAGAGTTTGCCTCCTTTCTTCGTTTGTTGTTTTCTCATGTTGCAGTTCGCAGCGTCTTGACTGTATTGATGCTGTGCATTGGTAGTGAAAACCAAACTTAGTCTTGTACTGAAGCCTATTTTTAAGGCTCAGAGCACCTTTCCACGCTGCTTAAGAAATAGTCTTTTTGGCGTTGGCCAGCATTGCTACGGTCTGCAGGTGGCGGTGGTATTGCTATGGCGGTGGTATTGCACCCAAGGTGGTATTGCTATACTGGTATATCTTAGAAATCTGCTGCGTACTCAACAGTGGGCTAGCTAAAATGCCAATCTAGCATACACCAGAAGATTTTGGGAATGGTGCATTTCTTACTAGGAATTTATGAGTGTGCTGTGCTATCGTTTCCCCTGGTCTCTCAATGTAAAACTGCTTACACTAATAAAGTGTTTTTCAGGCTACATCGCCGTCGGAAATATGATATTTGGCAGATCCCACATGCCATTGGAATCTATATCACGCGAAGGACGCGGAGAGAAAAAGCACTGAAATTTGGGATAGTTTGTTGTTGAACGTAGTGGTATTGAGAGCCCGTAAACAGGCAATAAACGAAAGACAGAATTATAAAGACGAGCATTTATGCACATATAACGCCATGTTTTATCCTACACCGAATACGAAAACGCATGCGTGAAACTACGATCTAAAAAAAAAACAGGAGAACAGCTATCACCTTAGAGTTAAAAACGCAAAAAAAACGCAAAAAAGTAATGCCGTACTTTCTTCCCATGAAGACATAATACAGAAACATCACACAACTGAGGTCAAAGAACACACATGTCCTGGCAAGCGAGCAAATGGCTATCGCTGGCCTGCTCTCAGCGTCGAAAACTTATCTGGGTAAGTCATTTCACTGGTTAGTAGGCTAGCTGACGCACGTGGAAGAATTTTTGTGGATATGGAAGGCTCCCATTATTTCTCATGTTGTTCTGTTTTTCTGCCGGAAAAGAACGGAAATATCGCTGAACTCTGGAATGCACCCACATTTTTCACGGTGTCACGCAAGGTGTGAATATAGGGTTTAGGCAGCTATTGAGGCAGCGGCTAATCTGACCTATGTAGTGTTGGCCGCATATGAAAGGAATACTGCCCATGTAAACACAGGTGTGATGATTTATTTATTTATTTATTTATTTATTTTACTCCCAGGGCCAAATAGCATTACAGAGAATGGTGGGTTTTTAACAAAAAAGTTCTAAATTAACAAAAAACTGTGAATACGGCTAAATTGTACAAATAATCTTTTAAAAGTACAATGTCTGCTAATACACTACTTATTAATACATGTTAGCTAACACAATACAGAACCTAATTATACAATGTTGGCTATTGCAAAAAAAAACAACTCATTAGACAATGTTAGCTAATGAATCACGGAACAAGCTGTTATCGCTAATAGCAACAATTCCACCGTGAGGTCTGTTCCACTCCTTTGATGTGGAAGACAAAAATGAATTGAAGAAAGTTTTAGTGTTGCAGGAAGGAACTTCGTGGGGGTAGTCAATGCGTTGGAATATGTGCTGTGTGCTAAGTAGTAGTTTGTCATGCAAGATAGGATGATCGTATATTTTGTGAAATTGTTAAATGGTCCACTTTTCTGCGCGATGCTAAGGAAGGGAGTGCAAGGGAAGTTTTCAATGTTAATATTCTCGCGGTTCTGTTATAATTAAACAATATAAAACGAACGGAGTTATTCTGAGCAACTTCAAGAGAAGTTACCACATTATCATAGGTGGGGTCCCACACGGCTCTAGCATATTCTAGTTTAAAGCATATTAGTGGTTTATAAAGCTGCAGTCTTAAGCCATGTGGAGCGTTAAGTTACGTCTTCAATAGCCAAGCATGTGGTTAGCATTGTTAATAAAGTATTGAGTATAAGGTGACCTGTTGAGGTTAGTTGTTATGTGAACTCTAAGATACTTATAACAGTTAACAAAATGCCAAAGAATGTTATTAAGATAGTAAACATGTGATGTAATGCAAGTTCTTGATACACACATGATTTGACACTTTTTAATGTTTAGTTCCATTAGCCATTTTTCACACCAGTTAGATATGGCGTTAAGTTCAGACTGCAATATAATAATCTCATTATCGCTAGCGATTTTTCAAAAAATAACACAGTCGTCAGCAAATAGAAGAGTGTTAGATGATACAATTGCTGACATGTCATTTATATAAATGAGGAACAAGAGCTGGGGGCCTAAGACAGACCCTTGCGGAACGCCAGAATGAACTTCTCGAAAAGAAGAATTAAGACCGTTTGCACTAATACATTGTGCTCTGTTAGTGAGAAAGTATTCAATCCACATTGGAAGGTTACCGTCAAGATTTAGTTGGTGTAGTTTCTAAACTATCAGTCTATGGCAAACCTTGTTAAAAGCTTGTGAGAAATCTAAAAAGATACAGTCGGCATGAGATGATTTATATAAAATCCAATGTGATGAGTGAATGATATTATCTGTGTTTCACATAAATAATATGTTTTACGAAAGCCATGTTCTGGTAACGTGAAAAATGAATTCAATTCTAAGAAAATGACTATGTTTCTAAACATTATATGGTTGAACATCTTACAACAAATACTATTAAAGAGATTGGACGATAATTGTTTGAAGACTGTTTATTACCACATTTATGAAGTGGAACAACTTTCCCAATAAAACATTGACTAGGAATAGTGGAAGCATCTAGTGACTGTTGGAAAATTTTAGTAACTGTAATGGAACTGTAGGCGACAGTACTTTTTGAAAACTTTGTGTTAGTGTCATATAGCCAGGAGATAATTTATTCCTAAGTCTTTGAGTGAGGCGTACAACTCCAAGAGTTTCGATGGTCTCGGATGACGTGGGTGAATAATTGGGTAAAGTCGCGCTAGGTAAATCATTACGTCTATCTAAGCAGAAGTATATGATAAAAGAATTGTTAAGAACAGCACCGCAATAGGCTGCGCTTTTTTCGTTACCGGATAAGTCAATCAAGAAAATATGAACGTTCGGCACGTGGGTTGCGACTGATGGATAAGAAAGTATTTGCATGGACTCCATAGAGGTATAGAGAAAAAAACTTTATGAAGCATGCTAGTGAAGAGTAGACAAGAAAACGATAAACCAAGAACTATATGTACAAGGTAATGACAAGCAAGCGCAGCAGGCCGTCGTAAGCTGTTCAGAGCTCGGCTTCGTTACTGTGCGACCCTGTCGAGCGCGCATAGTTCCAGCCTGGTAAGGGAAAATAACAAAAACAACACATCATACTTCGGAGCACTGTCCTCCCGTCGTGATGTGCCAGTCGTCGTGCGGCAGGGCAGAAGTGGCACGGAGGGTGCACGGTCACACGGTGTGACATGGCCGGAACGCACAGATCTGTTGCCATGAGCAGCACTGTTGCAGATTACTCGGGGGCCAGCTCAGCATAATTGGCCGCGACTCCCAAGCTCTGTGATCAACCAACGGTCCACAAAGGCAGCACCAGGCAGGCCTCATCTATGAACCCCCTTCCGGCAGCTGCACCCAGGCAGGAGCCGCAGGGCAGGACACGTCCTTGAACCTCGAAGTAGGCCACCAGGGCTGGACTTTGAATAGACTCGGCCTGGTCCCGCTCCCGCCTCATGAACGCTGACCGACGCTCGTCTGTAGAAGAATCAGATATATATATATATATATATATATATATATATATATATATATAAATATATATATATATTTATATATATATGACAAACCACACGAGAACGGTGTGGTGGAATGGTAGAGAAGGAGGAAGACGAAGACAAATAAATGGTTCATCGTACAGCCATCACGCCTCCTGCGTCCCACGAGTCGACAGGATGGAGACCTGCCTGCCCCTTCATCAGTCACTCATCATCGACGCAGTTTCCCAGAAGACGCCCTGACCATAAATTGACTACCGAATCATCGCCTAGGAGGACAACGACCAGCACTATGACAGAACCATCGGCTAACCTCGACATCCCCAAGTACACCGGATCAGCGGACGACGGACCCGTACAGGACTGGTTCAACCTATTCGAGGTCCACGCCGCCGCTGCATCCTGGTCGCAACGGGAGATGGTTACAAACTTCACTGACTACATCTCAGGTGAGGCATTCAAATTTTACCTCACCCACATCTTCGAAAACGACGAATCATGGCAAAAGATAAGAGAAGAGATGATTGCCCGTTTTAACGACTCCGACAAGGACTTCCTCATTACCGGCCATCTGCATACAACCACATGTGGTCGTCACAGTCCACGCTTATTTCTCAAGAAACGTGGCGTTCCACCAGGTTTTGCTTCACGAAAGTCGGCATTTTCAAAGTCGTGGCATCAACATACGACACGAGACGTCACTCACCCTATTGATGCCTTTCATGCTTCGTCTCGCATACATGGTCTACCACCTGGTTTTCTACGACGCAGCT